TTCTCACTTTACTATATTCTTTTTCAGAAGGGGTGTCCAGAACTAATAGCACTGTTGAATATACAGGCTCATCCTGGATTTCCTAAGTAGAAACACACAAGCATTCTCTTCACATTCAGTTTGAAATGGATCTTACTTATGGTTTCCTAAAAACTATTCAGCTACTGTTTTGTCTTTAATAAGAAATAAAATTAAGTGCTTTTTTGCCTTTTTTTTTTCTTTCAACTATGGCACACACAGTATAAAACATTGACTTCTTATACATTTGCAAGTTTTCTTTGGGAAAAACTTAAGAAAAACTTAAGACAATTCTATGAACTTACACAGCGAAAAAGAGGCTTTAAAAATACTGCAAATTGCTCATACATATGATAGATAAGATTACAGAATATCAGTACCTCTTCTGGCAGTTTGTAGATAAAAAAAATTATACTGCAGGCATGATCAAGTGAAAAAGCTATTTCAGCCTGCAGAGACATTGTGGCATCACTTTGTACTTGGCCAAAAACATACACAGAATTGGCAATGTTTTAACGAGAGTCCTCAGTACTTAGTATATTGCAGCCCTCCAGTTTTCCATCTTCAGGTAGAAGTTGTAAGTTACTACAGAACTTACAGAACTCTTCTCTTTCTGATCTGCACAAAACCCAGAAGCCAAGCACAGTATTTCAGAATCTACCAAAACCTAGATGACCTGAAGAACAGACTCTTGTAAGACTGACAATGGTAGCATAAAAAATACACACCACATCCAGCTCTGCCTCTAGGTCTTTGTTGCAGACAAAGAGGCAAGTTTCCAGCTTCTTCCACTGGATGATTAGATAACATCGGTACCGTGTTTATGTGTTCACTAAGAAGGTTGCATGTTTTTTTCTGGTAAGCAGTGGCTTTAAATTCTGTTCTGTTTTCACACAACAAGATGTATTTTGCATCTCAACTAAATTCGAAGAGGAGACCATCTGGAAGGACTACACAGTATAATATTTGATGTATACTATACCAAAGCATCATCTATGACCATACTTTATAGTCATACAGCTTTATGATGAAAGTTCAGTACATTTGATGCAATCTGAACTATAAGCCTCTGAATTCTTTCAAGAGTACCTACTCCCTTAATGAATTCTAGCATAATAATAGTAAGTACAATCAAAGGACAAAAACCCCTCAGTTGTAAGTAGTTCTGTGTATGGGAAAGAATACTTTTACAATCTACTTGTCTAATATTGCACTTAAAACCCTCCAAGTATCAGAATTTTGGTAACCACTTTGATAACCTTTTAATAACTTTTTTCAGAAATACATCACAAAGTAAAGACTGGAAAAACCAAACATATTTTTAGTTAATTTAGAAGTATTCACGTATTAAGAGATGAGGCAGCCAACGTATAACTGATTCCAGGACTAGTACTACAGAGTATATATAGATGCTGCCCTTAGGCGCTACAAAGGTTTTTTTTCCTCCTTCAAATTATAGCATGAAAATTTTGACATCTAAAAATCACAATTTCAGAGCTAGGATATTATACCCTTAAAAGCCTCTCTCCCCATATCTCCATAATACGTATCATCCCCTTGTCATGCAAAATTATGAACAGGTATTTTGATTGCTAGATGGAAGTGAAATTGAAAATACATACACTGAATGAAAAGCACTTGTGAGTTCTTTCAATGACTAGAGATGTGTTAAGCTTTTTCCTATCAAAAACTTCTGTGAATAGAAACATATTAGCATTAGTTCCTTGAGGCAGAGATAAATAATAATTACTGCCAAGATTCACTGTACTGTAAGTTCTCTATGTGGTAAAGAAGCCAATTCTGCATTCTGGTTTCAGAGAGAAATTCCTATTAACCTTTTGTAACAAAATGTGCTAGCTTTTGTGAATTACTAAAGCTTTAGCCCAATATTCAACTCTCGGTTCTAATTACGCATTTTCTGAGCATACAAGAACAGTAATGCTGCAGAGAAGAAGAAAAGAAGCTTCCTCTATCATTCTTTAAGGTTCCTGTTTAGGTAGCAAAGAAGAAAAACAAAACCAGAAAAACAACATTGGTTCTAGAGGGAGCTGGAAAGGAGGCACTGGTCACGACACAAAAACCCCAAGCTCATACAGGATCAGAACATTTTCTATTCTTATCTAGCTTAAACCAAATTTTAATGTATACACATTACGTTGTCAAATCACCTATCTAAGTTGCAGACCTCCAAACTTTGCACTTACAAGTTAATTTTATATCCACTAATTACTGCTGTTAAGTTCACACGCATTGAACCCAGAGACAGAGACCCCTGTGTGGGCAGATCTGCTGTTTGGAGGTTCCAGCACCTTTGTCTCATAAAACACGACCCCAGGCACAACCTCAGGCCAGGTTTACTGTCTACAAGGTATGCTGCTAACATCCTTGTCCCAACGTTGTAATCCCTGTGTGTCTGTGACAAGGCACTGTCATGCAAACATGACCAAAAGACAAGTAAAAAACCTACACAGTTTCCAGTTCCCTTTTGTTTTTCCCATCCAACAAATACATACAAGATAATACGGGCATTCTCATTTGTATTTTCATATTCCAACCTTATCATAGGCAGCCTGCCACCCTATGTGTGGCTTAATAAAGATTCCTGTCTCTGTTTTCACTTGTCTGTACCCAGACATATTAACACATTCTCACATATGTGGCTGAGTGGCAACTTTTATGAGGCCAACTTTGACAAACACTTTAGCAAAGCATTTATCTGAGTACGCATTCTAACAAGCCTTCCAGCAAAGCCTGCACTTACATACACGCATCATTTCTCACATGAAAGAGGGAGTTGTGCACATGTAGATGCATACGCGTCCAAACTGTAATTCCCTGATAATGCACGCAGGCAATACTGCACCCACATGCAAGAAATGATCCTATCCCTGCTTGGAAAGGAGGTATCACTCTTCCCCGAGTCTCATGTTGGATCATTGAAAAAAAATCAGTATCAAGAGTCCTTTCAATGGAAAGGAATCTCCTCCCAATCTCAGTGGTTCATAAAGCCCTGCAAGGAAGCGCTCTCAGTTTTATAATCATCTCTACTCTGTGATAGACAGCAGACTGGATGTGGACTCTTTCAACCACCATGCTGTACTCCTTAGAAACTCACATGGTGAGAAGTCTCAGATGACCTTTCAGACATCTCCCATATATATATATATATAGTCCACGGGTGGAGGGTTTGGAGAATGCTGTCCAAAACCTTGATCATGACTTCGCTCACAGTGCACTTACTCACCCCAAACTAGTTATTGAGTAATGGGAGTCTAGGGTTACAAAACTCCAGCAGCTGAAAGTTATTCTCTCAAACACAGTTGTAGGCATATCGGTTTCACCTAACTACATGGTTTCATAGAACCACGACATGGTTCTGCTAAACAAGATTTGCCTCCCACAGCCCAGGATCCCTGGCTAATCAGGGACTAAACAGCTGCAATGATAAAGACTCCCAGAAATTTGTTATCCCTGTCTTCTTCCTCAGATAACAAGACATCTAGAAGAGTAAAACCAATTTCTTCTGGAATGTCTTCCCAGACACAAGGTTACATGCTCCATTCTCTCCACATTGTGCTTCTCTCTGACCAATAAACAATTTGAAGGCATCAGGGCTTACTTGTAGACGAGCAGGAACAAAATAAGCAGAAAACAGGCACAAGGCGTGCTTCCTTATGTGAGGCCACATGTAACTGTAGAGGCAGCAGCAACATGCTACCATTATGCATGCAAGCTATGGTGTGGTATTTCATAAAGGGGTCTACTGGGAACTCACAGTCCAGAAAGCAAAGGACTGTGGGATAGCTTTCTTGTGGATAGTTTCAAAGCACAGGCCTAAGGGGGATGGCCAGCCCAGGGAACCAGATCATTATAATCCAAAGCAAAACCCCTAAAAAGCATGATGACATTAGCTACAGCATCCTCAGCAACAACTGCTTTCACCTACTCATCTGCTTCTTTTGTGCTTCACTACTCATTAATGCAGACAAAGCCTAGAACTACATTAAAAAAACCCTATATGCACTCAAAAGTACTTAAAAATGAAAAATTATAAGCACAAACCCAAATGCGGTCCATGTGATTGTGAACAGCAATTATAACCGCACAGTGCTTTTCAGGTATATTCTGCATTCTTGCTGCATGCAAAATTGTCTCAAGTTGGGGGATTTCACTTAATTAAATTTATTGCCAATTACAAAAGCTTTAATTACTGATTTGGGTATTGAGAAACAAGACAAATAGTCAAACAAACACTAAAGAAAACACTTTTCCTCCCTCCTTGTTTGTCTCAACTTCTCTTGATGTCCCCCTGTATCTCCATTTGTGCATCTTTTGTGTCTCTCCTGCACCACCTTTGTGCCCCCTTCTGTGCCTTCTCATGTCCATCCTCCTGTATCTCCATTTGTGCCTCTGACATATTTGCCTTTGCCCTCTGCTCTGGTGTCTCCTGTCCCTAGTAGCTACTGACCTTTCTTAAATATGTTTTCACAGAGGTGCCATATGCTCTTCTGTTTGGTTCCAATTTCAGTTGTGCAGTGGGTCCATATTGTCCTTTGCAGAGCTGACTGGAAATGGATGTGCCCAGCATAGGGCAGTCCATGACTTCCTCCCACACAGGCCAGCCCTGGAGCCCCCCCCATGAAACCCCTGCCACATTTATGCCACATACAATTCTAAAGGTGAACAGGGAAGAAAAAAAAAAAAGAAAAAAAAAAAGAAAGATAATTTTCTAAAGCTCAGCCATAATGATCTATGGAGTAAATCATATGAATGGCATCCCTTGTCATCCATACTTGATAAACAAAAATAGCTTAAGTTTTATGTGATTAATGTCTTCTAAAGAGGTACTTACAGGGGCATTAATTTCTGAAGAACAGATCCCAAAACTACACACATATGTTTTGTTACATATACCAGTCCCAGAATATGAACTTCAGCTGAGAAGACGATTAACTTCTGGAAACTAATCCAATTTGACTTACCATAACAGAATCAAGTTTTTGTTTCACCTTCTGCATTCTCATTGATGCTCTTGCAACACTGACAAACTGATCTGCTGGAGACATTACTGAACTTTTTTGTACAGGAATTTCAGAAAAACTGCTGAAGAGCTGTGGCCCTCTTGGTGCAGCTGTGGTATGTGATGAACTGAGATCTTTTATGAGTTCAGCTTCCTGTTGTGCAACTGTAGAAACAATCAATGTTAATGTGTCAGGTGAAGCCTTACATTGCCATGGGGGGAAAAAAAAAAAAATAAATTGAATGATCACTGTCATTTTGCCAGCCATATTTTCAATGAACACCATCAGAATCTGTACTAATAGTAATATAGGGAAAACCCTGAAAATGACATGAAGTTTTCTGCATGCTACCCCCTTTCCCCCAACTATTCCTGATCACAATGTCTCCCTTCTGTTATCTGTGTTCAGTAACCTCTCACACTAAACCGCTATTTTTGTATTGCTTATAAACAGTAGTGCTCTCCATGCAGAAATATCAAAAGGCAAAAAAAAGAGGAAGGAATGTCTTCAAAGGCAAGGAAGTTATATAGCTTGCACTGAGTTCAAGTCAACTATTTTACTAGGTATATTTCACATTTTTTTCCAGCCTAGTTCAAGTGAGCTTAATATACTTGAGTAAAATTTCAGAAGTTGCTAGACATATATGCAGGCACAGGAGGCATTCTTAGGAGGCAGCCTGCTCTAGAATAGGATACTTTTTATGAAAGTTTTGCTCACTGTCATTTAAACAAATTGTTTGATTTTTGCAGTTTTTGGTACTGTGGTCTCAAGCCAACAAAGGTTAAAAGAATTCTTCATGAAAGTTTTGTCCAGGATATTCATAAAACTGTCAGCGTATGTAAAACACATACTGTTAAGAGTCTTAAAAACTGTGTCAGTGACTAAAATTAGTATTACTATATGATTAACTCTTTCAACACTAAGGCAGTAAGACTATCTTCTGAAAGCAAAGTGTGTGCTTTTAACCAAAAAAGGAACAAAAAGTTAGTAACAGACAATGTGGAAAAGACCACAACTATGCAAAATCTTACTGTCACCAGTGACTTAGTTAAGCAGTCAGATGATACAAATAACTACCAGTGTGATAGCTGTGTGATCTCTAAATATACACACACACACACACATATATATTAAACTACCCTATTAGCTTTTTAAAGACTCACTGTCTGCTGAATAGTCAAAAAATTTTAAAGAAATCCTTCACCCGAAAAATTTTCCATTGCTCTCTAGAATGCAGGTATCTTACTGGGTTGAAGTTTAGCACTGAATATTGATTGTAAAGTCATTCCACGTTATTTTCTTGTAAAAGTCAACCAGTTCAACAAACAAATAACTTAAACTGTGAGATCTGATATGAGTAATCTCGTTAGTACATGTTATTTAAAACCCAAATGTATGAAGACAGGATTAACTTTATAAATCTATGTTCACTGCAAATATAATTAAAAAAAATCTGTTAGACATCAAAATTTATTGCATAATTCATATTAACATTATTTATTGTCTAGATGCAACATGACATCTGAAACTACGTCCTTGATTGAAACAGTGACACTGCTAAATCTAACCACAAAAATACAGCATCAGAAAAGCCTACAAAAGGTGGTCTGAATTTTATTTTGCATATCAAAACCTGAAAGCTAGCATTTATCACTTTGTAATAATAAAGTATATGAATAAACATCTCTCACATAATCAATCACATCACAAAAGTAACACCTGTTAAAACAATCTATACTGTCTCATATTAATTCATTTCTATACAGTTCCTTAACATTATTCTGTAACATAGCCAGCACAAAATAATGAGATTTCTATTGAGTTATTCATTAATTTTCAGAACTAAAAGTATTTTCTAGCTCCGTAATCCACTTTGATACTGAAAAGGGGCCTTTAAATATTTATCATATATAGGCAGCATCATAAGAATCACGCAGGATGACATACAATAACACATTTCAACTTGAGGTTGTAAGGGACCTTTGGTGATTGGCTAGGCCAAAACCCCTGCTCAAAGCAGGGTCACCTATAGCAGGTTGCTCAGTTGGATTTTGCTATCTCTCAGGATAAAGATATGTATTATCATCAAATGACTGTTTTCTTTTTCCTTCAGAAGTACAAACACTAGCAAATCACTTGAAAAAGTAAAATATTCGCAGGTGTGTATCAAGAAAATTTGTACTGTACCTTTATAATCATAAATGTACACAAGTATTGGCTGGTTTTGACCAAAGGCACAAAATGACACCATGTGTTCATGTGGATGAAAGGCAACATCACGAAGTGGAGATGTGAAGGAGAGTTCAGAATATATGGCCACCTGATCTCCTACAGAAGTGAAACACATTTATTAATAACATAGAAACATACTTGATACAGCAAAGTAACAGTTTGTTAAAGCTTGTATTACTACAGCGCAGTGTATGCCACTGTACATAAATATTGTTCAGTCCATTTCCCTATTGAAAGGTACTATTTGGCATAAGACAAAAACATTGCATGCATTTAAGTTATTGAATAAGTAGAAAAGTTAGTGCTGTTGCAACAGCTGCAGGAAACCCCAGAGGATGCATCAGGTTAGCTGAGTTCTCTTGTTCTGATAAGCAAGTTCTGGAAAGGTGGCTTTCCACAGTATTTGTTTGTGCTTGCATTTTGCCAGAGATAGCTATCTTAGTTGTGGATTTCAATTATATAATAATGATATGAGGAGTGAAAGTTGAGCACAAAATTATAAAAAAAATAAATAAAATTGGCTCTTCAGCTGATGGCATTGTGAGTGCAAGTACAGTGTGTAAGCAAGAGTCAAAGCCCAGTAAAAACATACTACTTTTACTTTTATTCTTTTTTAAAGTTTTCAGACAAATTATGTAGTGGCACAGATGTAAGCTGACACAGTTGGAAATGTGGAAAGAAATTCAGAACAGAACTGTTGGTTAACTGCCAGTTTTAAAATATTTACTTTTCCCCTCTAAAAAATATAGAGATCCTAATTGGAGACAGAATATAATATCATCAAAACCAAACAGTGTAATCTGCTACCTTCTACTATTATTTTTGTCCCTTTTACCCCCCTGTACAATGAAGATGACAACCTCTTTATCTTGCATTTGCTTAACACTTTTCCAGAAAGATTTTAGTAGCTGTTTTGAAATTACTCAGTTTGGGAAATAATTCACAAAGAAAGCTTATATTCCAAAGGCAAAAAATACTCATTCTCTGATCACCCCTGGTAAAAAGATGAAGTAGTTCTCAGCAAAAGCCTAATACCCAAATGCAAAAAACGCAACAGAAAGGCTGATTTGACTGAAAATGTTTTTGTGTTTGCCATTTTAAGACCCTCATCCACATGTGAAGAACTGCAGTAGACATAAAGCTGAGTTTAAGGTGCTCTGTTCCTGCTGGATATTATGAACGCTACCTCTGCCTATTAATTACCTCTAGAAAACTAAATCTTCGAGATTAAAAATAGCTATGTAAAAGGTGGAGCCAAGGCTTCAGGATTTAATCTTACTGAAGTTTTATTCTGTACCAAAAGTGTTTCAATAAAGCTTACAAAACCCTTTCCCCCTCAGTCTTGACAACCTAGCTTAAGACGATAAAAATAATTAGTTACCTGTTTCTGGATTCCAGACATAAGCCTTTCCGTCTTCACTTCCAGAGAATAAGAATGTACCACATGGTGTTAAGGTGCTGTGAATCTTTTCTCTGTAATTTGTGGCACCTATGTATTTCTTTGCAGCCAAGCTAAAGATAAAGAATAATTTGCAAGTGTAGCAGATGCTTTCAGAATAGACAATCTAACTTCTTACGTGTCAGTCCCCCTCTTTATTCCTCAGAAAAATCAATACACCTTGTATCCCAAATAGATATGTGAGCACCCACCTTTTGCAGAGTACAGTGTGTACCCTTTCTTTTGCTTTCATAATGCACCTGAAATTACAGATGAAAGCGTACATCCTTGTCTTTCAGTAGAAAATGGATATACTCAGATCTAGAGAATGGATATAGAGGTAGTAATTTGCATTTTCTTGATCCCAGACTTTGGGGGTGGGGTGAGGTGGTGGGGTGGAAATTGGCACTATCACTCCAAGCTCTGCCAAAAGTTTTCATTACGCTTCCTGAGCTTGATTACATCCCAGTAGTGCCTAAATTTATCCAATGGTTCTCTTTAGCTCTTCAGACTAATGTCTCCTTGGTTAGAAAAGCAGCAGTAGATTCAACAAATTTCAGACATCAATGTTGATTTACTATTAATGTTAATATTTTGAATATTTTTGTGCTACTTGGGTATCCTAATCTTTTTTCAGTGAAACACTATACTGGTCAGCATAATAATAATAATAATAAACTACCGTCACACAGTTTGTAGGCATGAACTAAGAGAGAATCTGCAAGAAGCATAAGCCAGATTGTAAGAGGCTCTATCAAACATGAGGCACAGCTTGGAAAGAGATATGAAAGTTCAAAATGGAGACTAATACAGCAGTAATACTACGATGCAGAATACAAGCCAAGAATAATGGCAATAGGCCACAACAGCCCTCAAAGACAGGAGACAGTAATTTTTAAAATGTGTTACTGCAGAAACAATGGAGTATGCTGGGAGATGTGCGATGCAGTTACTATGACAGGAAAATTATTTTAAAATTTTTTCTGAAGAAATACACCTTATATAAAATTCTACTTGGCAAGCAAGAGAAAAGTATGCTTTAAAGATCACAGTGCAAGACCATATTAGCCCAAATAAAGAGACTTTTAGCTATCTCAATAAGGCAGATAGTATCTCTGAGATGTCATGTAGAAGAGCTCTGCAAGATGTAAAACTAACCTGCATTTGAAACCCTAAGGAGAGGTCTGAAGCAAAACCAAATCCCTGATCACATACCTGAGTGACAGGACAACAGTGTTATCCAAGATGATCAAAAAAGGAAGTTGAAAGAGGAAAGTTAAGAACAACTAGCTGTCAATCAAAGTGAATTGTGTTGATCTGTGACCTCCACCCCCTCTTTTCTCATGCAGGGAATGAACAGTTAATGCTGATGTCTAAAATTATCACTGCTGGGTATCTGACCCTGTGGTTTATTGATAGACTTAAGCCAATGTAACTGTGGGCTGCGGTCAAAGCAGCAGTCCTGCTGTTGTCCTCTCCACCCTTATTTTCCCAGGCTCTCCCTCATTTCTTCTCTACTGTTTGGGCAGCTATCAGATGAGTTAGATCAGATAGCTGATTAAAATGAAAATTAATCATTTGTATTCGTAGGCCAATTTTTAGTCGGATCAGCTCACTGATCTGACTTACCCTGCATCAAAAGATCTCCAGAGCTGATAAAAAGGAAATGCTAGGAATACATGGCCAAAGGTGTACCAGATAGGAGATGTTGTGTCCTACAGATAAACTAGCTTATTAATTGTGAAATTGCACACCGTATTAACCCTTTCTTAGAGATTAATACGCACATCCATTTATTCTCTCTCAAACTAAAACTCCCTGCACTTTTTAGGAATGGCAGAGATAAGTGTTCTATCTGCTTCAAAAAATACAGGTTCCCTCTTTTAATCTACTGATTTCATGCTTTGAGTGGAGAGTTTAGCCTTCTAGCATGGTCATCAGAATTTATCATTTACAGTAAAAGATGAAGAGTGCACTACTAGACTAGAAAGTCTTCAGCTAGTTCAAACATCCAACACAATATATTATTTAAGAGTGAGAGAGTATATATATGTACAAAAGTATGTTGTAATACAATGTAGTTTCTCATGCTGTAAGAGTGTAAAGAGGTATTTCCCCCAGGTAATTTCATGTAGAACAACAAGGACATTTGATTTTCTGCACTTTGGGAGCAAGGAAGGGAACCCATGAAATTAAGGATTAACCATTTAGAAGGAGCGTTCATATCTTTAACGTGACTTTCCAGAAGAGAATGTTCAGGTGCATCTTATCAATGTGCGTAACTGACCGGAGCAAGACTCTTCTCAGTTTCACCCAGTGAAAGGACAAGCGGGAATGGATACCAATAGAAATATAGGAAATTTCACTTAAAATAAAAAACAAAAACCAAACAAAAAAACCACCTTTTACTTTGAGGCTGAATGAACACTAGGACATGTCACTCACAGAAGTTGTAGACTCTCCATCCTTTGATGGACAAAGCCCTGAGTAACATGCGGTCATGCTATAATTATTGGGGTTGGACTGGATACTCTCCAACCTCAACAACTCACATGATCCCGTAATCCCCTTGTTTTTTATTGTAGCTTGAAGAATCACATTCACAACTACTAAAAATGAGAAAATCATCAAAAACTAAGTAAAAATATCTCACCACCTCTTAATGTACCGTATTAGGTACATCACTGCATATTTCAGTATTTATGATGATAATCGTTATTCCATTTTATCATCAAAATACTCTTCCCAGAGTCTTAACAATGAGAAACTAACGCATGCATAAATGTTATAATTTCAAAGTAATTTTCACACCCAGATTGCATTTTTAAAAGTGAATTCAATCTTTAGGAGACTTGTGTCTTCTCCTTACTGCCATCTTAAACTCCCAAGTAATCTAGTAATTTTTGGATACTCTATTCTCAAAGACTTGCCCAATATCACAGAAAAGGTCTGTAACACAGCAGTGTTTTGGAATAATTTCCTAACTCTAATATTGCTATCCTTGATTATTAGGACATCTTTCTTCTCCACAACTATACATTTAATAATTTTATGACACTATTTCACCAAGTAAATTTTAAAACAAAAAGGAAATACACACTTGTCACCAAAAATCTACTTACATTCTGAGATCCATGATTCTCAGGGTACTGTCTTTGGCATGAATTAATAAACGCCTTCCATTTGGATGCACCTCCAAATGATTTATTGGTGTTCCTTTAATATCATTTTCTTTTATTTCCTACAGAAAGAAGGAAAATAAAGTAAAAAAAGTAATGTTTTTGTTTTAAAAGTCATGTTTTTACAGTTATTCATTTTTCTCTTGCATTACTCTTTATGTCCACTTCATTCTATTTGATTACAGAAAGTTTCTTCCTATATTAAAGCATTACAACCTAGTCAATCAACTTTTCACAACTACAAGGCAGGTTATAGTGGGACTCAATTTCTGAAACACAGCTGATGATGATAGAAATGCTGACTGAACATTAGGTCTATTTTATTGTTGTCTCTAAAAAACAAATCCAATGCATTAGCATTTTCTGTTAATACAGTGCCATTAAACCTCACACATTTTTGTGTTTTATATACAAAAAAGTGAAGTTGCAAAACAATTGGAAAATTTTAAGTCATTGAATCACAGCAATTCTATCAGCTCTTCTGTACCATTATTTAAGGAAAATATACCTTTTCAGTTAAAGAGAAGTTACTGTACAAAAAAAAATTGAATTCAAATCAAATTACTAGATTTGGAACAGTTCACATAAAAGTTACAATGCTGGTTTAAGAAACCTGTATACCTTATTAATTCTCCAGTGTTGAAACAGGTGTTGAGAAGTTCCTTTGACAGATGTATCCCAAACTATTATCAGTCCTGAACTATCTCCTGAGAACATGTGGAGCCCTGTGAAATAACAACATCTTGTAAGTAGAATAATGCACAAAAGAACAAATACAGAAAGGATGTATGAACAAGAAACAACTTTTTTCTATTATTTTTGTGAATAGGCAAACACCAATTCTTTCCCCTCTTTTGTTAGGATACACTCATTGCAAATCATTTTGCTCATACTGCATGACGTAAGTCGATACCTTAAATTTAGATTCAGCACATAAGTCAGATACTGGGGTGCTGAATATTCTTTTAAGTTTTTCCATTTTTACTCATATTCTAAAGCCAGCAAAAAATGAGCATTTGTAGCTGAATGAGCTTCACATGATAGTCTAATGCTTACCTATACATCCACTGAAAGCATCTTGAACAAGAACAAATACTGTTTTCCAACAGTTTTTCTTAAATTAAGCATACTTATTCTTTATAGAAACTCTCCTCTTCGTAGTACCTACACCAGCAAATACCTCCAAAAAGTGAACCACTTAATTACTAATGATGTCACTAATACCAGAAAAAGCCAAATACTTCCAAGTATCTTAATTCACCCATCTTCACCTGTTCCCACCCTCCACTAGTATGTGTCAGCACATCTCTCTGACTCGCTTTCAGCTTTTAATCTAACAGTTAACATTATTCACAGTGGTCAAATCTCTGTCCTTTTCTCTCAGTTTCTCACATTCTCTGTCAATATTGAAAAGTTCATCACCTTCCCACTTCTTCAGTCTAGCATTAAAATTCTCACAGTCTAACTACTTATTTTATCTCTGTATTGAGTTGATAGCTTTGAATGACAATACATTGGAGCTGTCTTTGCTACTGTTCTGATCATGCAACCTCCCATTCTGAAGCTCTGTTCTGAGAGACCTCTAGAAGCTGGTTTCAGATTTCCTGCTTCTGCTTTTAATTTAGTACGTAATTCTTCCACCTACTTCTTCAGCCAAACCTGTTTTTTTCCAACTTACTGTCTACACTAACTGCTAACTTTTTCACCTGCATCCTGATCCATTTGTCTCCTCTGAACAGTAGCATCTGTGCTTTATGTTCTGCTAATTTTTGCTGCAATACACACAAAACATTAGCTAACTAACAACAGCTAGTTATAGAGACAATGAAAACTAAACTATGACCAGAATTTGCCCAGCCATCATTGCCTGATCACTATATGTTTGTTTGCTTGTCCTTTCTACACTTACCTTTTCTGATTACTCTCAATTTATGTCAGAGACTATGTGTCCCTTTGTGTTCATCCAAATAAGGTATCATAGTAACGCATTAATAGCAAACACAACTAAAACTATTCTATGATAGTATTTCACATTGCCTCTATGAAATAAAGCAAACTAATAATAACCAAGTTGGTCTTCAACTGAAAAGACGACTATTTGAAAAAGTAGTACCAAGTACACACCTTCCGCATCAAAACAAAGCGTGTTGATGAAACTTTTGTGACCATCAAGCTCCTGGAGCAGTTGCCCATGGATTTCTTCTACATTTGCATTCCAGATTCTAATCACTGAGTCATAACATCCTGTCACGACCAACGAGTCAGCAATTGGGTGGTACTTTGCAGTGTAAACAAATGAAGGATGAGGGAAAACTCTCACTGCAGATGCTGCCTGCGTTTCTATTTTCCACATTCTAAAAGGAAATGATGTTAGGATATCTACTGTATAAAGCAATCACATACACAGGTACAACTGATGCCATATTTCATGCTAGTGGTTCTAGAGGCAAATGCTTACAAACACTTAACACCTCCTGTTTATGCTACCAATTTGTTCTATCTATATTTAATCCTTCAATATGGTACTTTCTAACAAGAATTAAGATACATTTACTACTTTACATAGTACTCTCTTCAAAGTAGATTCTCGATTACTTACTCATTTAACGTACATTTTACACATTTTCAAATACATATAAAGAACTCCATGGAATGGATCAATTTCTTCCTTTCAGGAGTTATAAACAAATTATTAAGACCTTCTGGGGTATCACTCATTCAAATAAATAGAACAAAAAACTCACAAAGGAACATTTAGGACCACTGAATATAAACAATTACCTACCACAGTGATTGTGATCTCGAGGATGTTTTCTTCACATAAATTCAGTTCTTACTACTCATCTATTTCCTATCCTTCACCACCCATAGCTCTAAGATCAGATTTTGCTTAGGAAGTGGTTTTTATTTGATGCTATTCATTCTATTATTGAGCCTTCCCCAAAGCTGAGTCCATAAAGAATGGAACAGTACCTGGACCATGAAATACAGGTGGGCAGCACATTTCAGAGAGCACTCAGTTACAATATGGAATTTAATTGTTTGAGTGCCACCCTTGAAGGTAGGGTGACTACTTCTGGTGGCTACTGAAGAATCCTAAGCTTACTCTGAGGTCGGTTCATTACAAAATTGCAACCCCTTAGAGTACAGCAATTAACTTGCAACTTAATGTGCAAAGATCACAAGGAGCCTACCTATCTTTTAGAGTGGTTTTGCTCTAGCAACATAAAAGTTAATTTATTGGTCACAAATAATTTGAGACTAAAGCTTGGGAAGGCTCAAGGGTAACATACAGAACACTAAAGGATTCATCTAAGTTCCCAAATTTCCCTTCAAGTTGCCTACAAACTCAGTCCAAGATAATAAACTGATAATGACTTCGCAATAGGGTGCCTTTTGGTCCTCACCCTTCAATTCTACCATGTTTCAATGGCAAAATGCTCCCAATATGAAAAAGAAGAAACTCCTTGCCTAAACTGAGATTTTTTTTTAAGGAGCTTAAGGCAATTGAAAATAAATACAGGAACTAACAACTTATACAGTGACTATGCATGCTACACAGAAAAGCAGGCAGACCACTACAGTTTCAACTTGCTGCCACAAATTCAAGAATTGAGGAACAGCTGGACCTTCTTATAGGTAGCATAAATGACTAAAATTGATATTTACTTCAATATAAAAAAATATTATTTAATCTGCTTCCAAATAAGAAATAAAACCATGGGCTAAGCTCTCAAAATATTCTTTTTATTCCTACATACAAGCAGGAGAAAAAAACAAAACCAAAACAAAACACTTTCACACATACAATATATCATTTAACAATTCTTCTGGCATTTTAATTATGCAACTGCCTGTAGCATTACTGAGTTGCATAACAGAAACAAGAGATAGGGATCTGAAGAGCTAAAAAAAAAAAAAAGCCCTACGAAAACCTATGAAGTTGCTCGTAATAAAATTATGCAGTGTCACAACCATATTTTCATGTTTTTCTAATTTTGAGAGTTTTGCTTTTAAACCTAGAACAGATTAGTATTAACATTAACACTGTGTTGAACTACACTTTTAAGTTGTAAAGCAAATGTGTAAACAGTCTCAGAAATACTACTATAAAATTACATTTACAGCAATTTAATTATTTAGCTACTTGTTCAAAAAAATTACATATATGTGTACAACGTGGCCAATTTATACACATAACTTGAATCTTAAATTTTCAATTTCCTGCCTCATGTTCAAATTTGCAAACTTAATACTGCATTCATAATATGGCAGTTTCACCAAGGATAGAATATTCCAACTGTCTCAGTGACTTCTGGAAATAGAAAGCCTTTTGGGTTTTTTACCGCATTATAGGTTCAGACATTACAGTTTTTGGAAAAAATTTTGTCTCAAATACATATACATTAGAAACTAATATAGTAAACACAGCATAAGTGATTAACTTTATCATAATTTTTATAATTATAGAGTAAGTCACACTGCAATCAAATCTTTTTTAATTAAAACATTGCAGCACATTTTTTAGTAAGAAATTAAATTGGACCACTTTCTTTTGTGCTTCTGACGCTATCTGCCAAAACACCTTCACCATACTGACCTGACAGTGCCATCAGAGGATGCAGTAAGAAGGTATTGATTGTCTTTCGACCAACAAAGATCATACACTATGTTAAGGTGACCATAAAATTCTCTCAGGAACTGTCCAGAAGGAATTTCATACACTAGTGAAGTTTAAATAGAAAAATAAAAAATTTTGTAAGTATTTACAACCAATTACATGCAATTATTAGTGCAAAGTTTAGACTAAACTTGGGCTGAGTTTCTGCTAGTGTTAAGTCAACTCATTTTCTTTATCTACTAATTTTCAGAGAACACGATCAAATAGTTGCTAGATATACATGGACAGCAAGCATATACTTCCATCTAGTGGTTCATAGATGTCACAAATGTCTTATCCCTTAAGAAACAGTCTGCTTGCTTTACATTATCTCAACATTCTTATGCATGGGTTAAGAACTACGCAGTTGAGGCTACTGTGAAGAAGCAGCCCCAAGTTTGAGCAATAAAGAATATCTGTAGTTCCAACTGAATTGGACCATGGAAGACAGCAGCCACCCGTAGTCTGTCTGGAGATGACAGTATTCCAGATATCTAACTTTCATGACATGAGGAAAAACTTACACAAACAGCACGTGGTGGGGGCTGGAAAAGTTGTTTCACTTAAAACCTTATTATCAGAAAATGTGTTCCTTATGCAAACTGATTTAGTATTTCCACTAGACCTCTGCGCAGAAATAGTGCAATTCCATACTGTTGAACTGCATATACATTACCATGTGTGAAAAGCCAGTTGCAGCCCTATTAACACAGAAAGAGCATTTTCCTCAATGCTCTTTAATGCACACAACAATTTACAGAACACAATTATAAAACAAAACCTCTAAAACCCCACAATTTAAAAATACATCTTTTGCTCTTTAGTTTCAAACTACATGCGTTATAAGGAAAAAAAAAAAACAAAAAAAAAAACCAACAACATATTTTAAACTTACAAACAATGGGATAACCATTCCTTCCCGCACATGCTGCTGCTAGTGTTTTCCCATCATGAGAGAAACGAATACAGAAACAGCCCATATCTCCACCTCGCAATGAAAACAGGTGCTTGTTTGGTATGCGGCAAACCTAGCTTTTCAGGTAAGAATTGGGATTACACCGTTATGAACATTAACTACCCAATGCTTAAAACACATTCTTAGCTTCTGTCATGCATAAGTTTTAAAAAAGCTACTAACGTCTTAAGGGAATTCAAAAGAAAAATTCAACCTTATAAAACAATTCTTAGGCTCATATTTCTCTTGGTTTTGATTATACACTTACTTTCAGAATGGCAACTTTCTGAAAAGTATTGAAGATTAACATAAATACATCTTTTGGGTATCCTGACATTTTGGTAAGAAAATTTCCATTGTAAAAACAGACTTGCCTATTCTTCACTATTTTATTATTATTAGCAAACTTTACTGGGAAATAAAATTAAGTCCTTGTATATTTAAGTGTCCTTTTTGAAAGAATCTGTATAAGGACTACAGTATGAAATCAAAATAAAAAGCAAACTTCTTTGCTAACAATTCTTTTATTATTCAAATTTTTATAGAACCATGAACCCATGCTATCACCATTCTACATAAAAATATGAAATCATTGCATGGACATTCCATATAGTTGCAAAAATACTCCTTTTTGTGATTGCTAATTTCTATTAACTACAGTGATCTAGGACTTTGCTGACTTCATGCTAAAACATTCTTAATAAGATTCTTTAATGAAAGTTCTTTCATAATTGTTATACTGTAAACAGAACTTTAACTGAGGGAGGGAACAAAAAAAAAAACAAAACCAAAACCACCAAACAAAAAAACCCAAGCCCTGCCAAATAAAATATATTTCCAGTGAAGCTGAAATCTGAGAACTGGTGTCCTGTCTTACTTCCACTACCAGAATAGCCCTACTCTTTCACATTCCTAGAGAATCCTGGAGATAAAAATACCTGGCTGTTCTGGGAAAAAATGGTTAAATCAACCACATTTGGTAAGAAGCTAAGCATCCTCTACTATTTCTGAGAGTTCCTTAAGTTTTGTATTCGGTTTAGTATGTTTTTAATTTGCTTTAATGAATGACTTGCCTCATAATACTTATATCATAAAAATAAACTTATAAAAAGGTAGTAGATCTTTAAATTATTTTTCTTTAAAAAGCGAATAAAAACACTTCACCTGTCCAGGCAATCTCGTCCATTTAAATGGCTCCTTTTTCTCCTCTGAAAAAGGTTCACAAAGAGCAGAAAGAAGGAGCAACCTTAAAGCAAACAAAACTAAGTATCAGGAAAAAACATTTTTAAAATTAACACTAATATCTGAAAAGCTTAAAAGGTACTTCTGAAATGCATTGCATTTTTACATCTGAAAAACAGAGATCGGGAAAAGCTTAATACATGAAAACTGTGTAGCAGTAACTTCATTTAAAGTAACCAGCAAGTCAGAAAGTAATCTGAGCTTCCAAAGTTGTGTCAATCAGATGTTATCAAAGATTTTTCAAAGAATCAATACTTTTCTATTTTTCTATTCAATCTAATCAATACTTTTCTATTTCCAACTATCCACGTCAGTGAAAATTAGTACCACTCTACTACCTGGTGAAGATATTGTATTAAAAAATAAAAGGGGGGGGGGGAAGGGGGAAAAGGATTTCAGCATGTGAATAGTTCCAGTGACATTAGCCTACCACCTTCAAATCAAAATACTGCTTCAGCAACAAAATCCATGCATGACACCAAAAGGTATTACCAGCATTGTGTATTGAACAAACCATGTTCAGATGTTGCAATGAAAAAAGGAGGCCTGAACACATTTGTGATTTTAATAGTAGGTAAAGCATATACACTTTCCAAACTTTTGTAAGTATACTTACTGAACCTTACCTACAAGTTACACCAAGCTTGAACACACAGGAAGCCCTAAGACTGCAAAGCAGCCTAGCAGCCCCACAGCTGAGGGCCACAGAGGCCATTAAGCAGCAGCTGCAGTTCTGATCCATTTCACTAAGACAAGGCTCTTCAGAAACACAACTGAACACCAGGCAAAATTACTGTTTCCTTCCAGGATGACAGTTGCTAGGTATCCACCTCAAGGTGGCTAACTGTCTAGGTTCTTGGGACTAAAAAAGGAAACTGGACACCTGCTATGCAAGTAGAAACCAATTGAGGAGCTTAAATCAGTTGTTCACACATAGATATCTACTTCCATGCAAGATGTCCTTGTCTGGAAGATGTCCAGAGGAAAACAACAAAGCTCACGAAGGGTCTGGAGCACAAGTCTTATGAGGAATGGCTGAGGGAACTGGGGTTGTTTAGCCTGGAGAAGAGGAGGCTGAGAGGAGACCTTATTGCCCTCTACAACTGCCTGAAAGGAGGCTGTAGCCAGGTGGGGGTCGGTCTTTTCTCCCAAGTAACAAGCGATAGGACAAGAGAGGAAATGGCCTCAAGTTGTGCCAAAGGAGGTTTAGATTGGACATTAGGAAAAATTTCTTCACAGAAAGGGTTGTCAAGTATTGGAACAGGTCTGCCTAGGGAAGTGGTCGAGTCCCCATCCCTGGAGGTATTTAAGAGACGGGCAGATGAGGTGCTTAGGGACATGGTTTAGTGGTGGAATGGCAGTGTTAGATTAACAGTTGGACTTGATGATCTTAAAGGTCTTTTCCAACCTGAATGATTCTATGATTCCTACTCTATGTCCTGTTTTATCCGAGACACCTATTTTCATACCTACCAGCCCATACAGCAGGTATGGGAGATCTGGGCCCTTCTAGAGAAGCAGGAGACAAGGCAGGATCTGTACCAGATCTTAAGTGGAAGCAGAAATCTATGCATAGAAAACTGTATCATGCTATGGCTCTTACCTGGAGCTCACTGCCAGCGTTGGCAAATCTGGCATTTATCAGAACAAGAATAAAATAATACCAGTAGCCAACGGAGCCAAGTCAAGCATAGCTCAGAAAGCCTACGCAAATTCATCATGTCACTTGAGCTTCACAGAGGACTGTACAGCAGGAACAGCTGTAAAACAGTGACAGCACCTAAACATACCAGGAGAACATTCAGACTATGGAGAAGACAGGCTCAGAACAGGCCCAGAAAGATGAAGCACAGCTGCTCAAGCAAAGCACACAGAATTCCTAACAACCTCAGCAGCTGACTGAGCAAGAGATCTGCAGATGTCATTCTTGTATATCGATTAGAAAAATGTCCCAAAAACATAGGAACTAATCCCACAGATTAGTTTGGTTTTGGACCACAGCTCATCAGGCTTCCACAGATCACCTTTAATTGTATGAACAGTGAGCAGAAGGAAGACTTATGACAACTGTTAATACATACGGAAAATTATGTAATAGAACAATATTGTACTCGGATTGTAGAACAATAAATGCTGTATTTATTTTAAATGCACATACCAATGTAAGTCTGTCTTAAAAGGAGTTTTCATTTGTGAAAAAAAAAAAACAAACAACTATTAAAATACTACTTACTATACCTTGAGGGTGCAGGGAATCAGAGTTAAGTGACTTACATAATCTCTCACACAATTTATACAACTGCATGAGTCCAGTGACTTAAAATGCCATTTCTCCTAATAAGAAGGAATATCAATCTCCAGTAAAGTACCCTTAAAGTTTTCTCACTGTCAATGGCAAAATATGCAAAGTTGCAGATGGGAAAGTATGGCTATTTTTCAAAGATAGCTATGAAGGACTGAGTTTGGAACAGGTATCTTAAAATGCAAAGTTCTTATTATAGCTAGTTTTATACTAGCTATTTTATATACTGCACCTAAGTACAGTTTTTATATGCATGCATCCAGACAGACACACACACACTCTAGCTAGTTACTAGTTCTTACACAAAATTCTGTGTATTTGTAAATCTATTTATATTTTTATATATAGAGAGAAAGTATATATATATTTAACTTACATGATCCGGCAGTTTTATGCCTCTTACGGTTACATATAAAGTTGATGGGTAACGATTTCTAGGACATTTTGCCCACCAGTCATAAACCTCAACAACATTCGGATGTGACTTAGTCCTTGGAGGCGGGTAATATAATTGCAGACGTAGTTTTCCATCAATGTTTCGAACTCCATTTGCACCTACAAGCTGCAAGGGTGATTAAAAAGAAGAAAAAAATGTGTTATGTTAACATAAAAGTAATAAGTCATGATTGTTCCTAGCATCTTAAACAACTACAGGATAAACTCTGAAATCCACTTCCCATTGGGGAAATATACAATCCCTAAAAGTGGTAATGAAGTAGTCATGTATTAAAACAACCCCAGAATCAAACTGCCAAGATTAAAGTTTAGATGGCAGCCTAGTTTTGAAACATGCTTCATATGCACAACAGTAATATCTTGTATGTAGGAAAAACCTCTGCAGTACCACTTTTTTTTAATTACTACTTGCTGGAATCACCCAAATCTCAAAGGACTGCCAATCCACAAAGACCCTCTTCCAAATCTGCCCCCTTTGAACACTGCAGCAAAAGGCAGTGGTAACGCTTTGACTCAGAGCAGAAGATATAGCAAAGCAGTAACCCTTCCAACTTCAGAGGAAAGAGTTCTCCCTGTTGAACTGAAGAACAAGTGTACTACTGACCACTGTTTATCAGGGCATTTCTACTTTGACTGACGCAGATGAAAGTATAATGCAGACAGATACACAGTAGGAACGAAGAACAGTCCACAATTTTATTTGTGAGTTGGAAATTCATCCTTTGCTTTGTTAGGGAGTAGGTTGTACTGAATGCCTGGAGGACGCACAGTTCCCACCAGCTATACACCCAGACACCGGATACCAGACCTCTGATTTCTGTAGATTCATCTTGGGCAGCACTGAGAAGATACTCTGATATGGAGGTCCCTCTCCCTTCTCCTAAACTTGCAGTCCATTCTCTTCTCCTGTATTTCTCATGTTGTGGACTGCTCAATGGCTGTCAAGATTTACCATCCACAGGGGTAGGTGTAAATGAACAATCCTCAGGCAAATTAAAGCTTGTCAGCTCTCAAAGGCTAAACTGGCACATTCAAGTCTCTCCTAAAAGGGTAAAAAGCTACATGATGTGCTGGCTAAATTACCTGTATTTCATTTCAAACTCTGCAACTAAAAATGATGGGCATTTTATAAATAGGCTAGTGAGTCTTTTCAAAGACTGGCTAACTGAAGATGCCACTAGAATACAGAATACCTGAGGTACAGAAATTAGTGGATTTGTCATTTTCTTTGCAGAAAATCTCATGAACACACAGAAAAACCTCAAAGAAAACCTCTGTCTGTACTTCATGAACAAAAAGCCTCCAAATCTTACACGTTCTAAACTTTCTTGAAAAATACATTTTCTTTACTGTCAAGCTTGTTACTGTGAATTTTATGGGGCGAAGGAAGAGGGAAAGGAGAGAACAGCCAAGCAAGCAAGGACCTGTTTTTCTATCTCTGTTGCCTGGAAATATTAAAAAATGTTTTCCCCACTTAATATAGTTAGTGTCTTTTAAATAATTGAATAAAAACATGTAAATATTTAAATGAAGAAACAAAATTTATAAAATACCTTTAGAAATGCCCAACAAATTTTTCGGAAACCACATTCCTGAATTTGTACATCAGAGTTGGCTCTCATTTCATCCATACTTAGAAAATCAAGGATCTGAAAGTATTGGTAGGAATATAAATATATTTCTAATGAATATATAATTCATGGTAATTAAAAAATACTGATGAAAATATACTAGATGCCATTGAGTAAATTAATCAGATTTCAATTTTAAGCAATTACAAAACCAGTGCTTTTTCCACACAAGTATGCAATTAAAAATAACAGGTCCTTATGCATTTACCTGATGCCTATTTATGACCTGCTTTAAAAAAGAACGTCTAGTCTTAAAAAAACCTGTTCTTGCTTCCCTTCTGTCTCAATAAAAGAGGAAAACGTTCATGTCTAGTTTTCACCAATCCCATATTATATAGTTCACAAATCATATAGATCACAGATCTGACAGCCAAAACCAGCTGTGTGTTAATCTAGCTGGAAAATGGCAGTCAAAAAGTTAGTTTTCTTTTCCTAGCTTTATCGCTTATATCATAGAATCAATCATAGAATGGTTTGTGTTGGAAGGTACTTTCAAAGATCATTGAGACCAACCCCTGCCATGGGCAGAGACATCTTTTACTAGATCAAGTTTCTCAAAGCCCTGTCCAACCTGACTTTGAATTCTTCCAATAATGTCCATGAGATTCTTCATTTTTCTGGTCAGTGACCAGAATCTTCTCATATTTAGCCACTCCTGGAGGTTCATCTGGTATACAGAAAAACCTGGGATCATTCTTTCTTCAAACTGAAATATCATAAACCACACTGAAGTCAAACAGCATGCTTTCAGTGTACTCATGCCTTTGGTCCCAACATTAACATGATTTCCATGGAGAATCTTTACATACAAGTGTAATTACTTTTCTGTTAAACAACTAAGTACTCTTAATTTTATAAATATGTTCACTTATGAGTATCACAGAACACAAAGAAACATATGGTGATATTGTATATACAACCTATTTGAAATACAAAAAACAAGGAATGAAAAAATATTTATTGCATTTGGTTCCTATTTTCAGGTTAACACTACAGAATCTCTCTTTACAAGTATTGAAACACTTAAGCTCAAATTCATGTTGCATATATACAAGTTTTCTTTTAAACATAATTGTATTTGAGAATGAATTAATAATTACTTTGCGAATAATGGGAGAGAAGTAGATGACTAAAATATTAATGGAGAACAATGCAATAGCTTCCTCATTGATACAAGGGATAAGAGGTGTTGCTACAAGCAGGCAAACTCCATCTTTTGAGTTTCTGGTACTTAAGCTCCTTTTCAGATTTCAAGAATGTGAAAAAGGAAGAAGTGACACCCCTTATATGTGGTGCCATCCCTCCTGATCTGGAACAATCTTTCCAGCCTTTCCCAGAAGTCTGACAGTTGATTTAATAAGAAGGCTTTGTCCTCCCTACTACTATCAAAACAGGGTGGTTTTTTTTGCTATTAAAAATGTTTACTAGTATTAGCAATCACCAGTACCACTTCTTGGTATCTCCATTTAATTCTCCATCTTAAGGCTATGCTATTAGCCCATTATAACTGAAATAAGCCACCTGAATCAGTCAAATATATGCTGTTGAAGAAAACCAGAAAATCATAAAGTATGTAAATTTGATGCAAAATATTTAACTTTACCTCAAAAAACAGGATTACCCGAGGGCTTTCTTCAGTATTTTGAATAAAATAGCTAAAACACTCATTAAATATGACTTGCTCCTCCCACTCTGGAACTGTTGATTTAGACTGTCTGAAGTCATATGGTTGCGTCATAATAGGAAGAATGTGCTCTATTTGTTCTTGTTCATAGTAAGATGAAACTTTCCTCTTGCTGTTTGAAAATTGCCAAAGTTACAATTGGTATAGCGCTTTACAAAAACCAACTTAGAACAAAACAGTATTTTTAATTACTGAAAGCAAAGAAGCATAGAAGATATCATTTGTTTTGACTTTAGAAAAAAAACTTCTAAAACCACCCAAAAATTAAGACAATTTGCAATGCATATAGAAATGCTACAGGCTGAAGTTCAAAATTCTAGCAATCAAGTTACTATTACAAAAATATATGCATAATTATCATGGTAGAGTCTACTGCTTAAAAGACCATTAACATTTGTTTTTTAGGAAAACTATGCATGACAGTGGAAACAAGAACTGAAGTGATTAGAAAGACGAAGAACTAAACATTTCAGGATTTTAAAAGTTATTTTATAAAAAAGAAAAGGCAGACTATTTATGCTACATGAGTTTTGCTTACTTATTCTAATCACGGCTTCTAAACATTTTTGATATTTAGCAAACTCTGTAAAGAATAGAGAATGAACTGTTGTGTAAATATGGGGACCTCAAGAGCAGCACAAAGCGTTTAAAAAATTTTTATGTAGTATTATACATGTAGAAACTAATGAATGACCTCACAATCTTAAAATTTAGCATTATTTTAATTTTCATATTTAATTTTCTAGGGAAGAATCTATGTATTTATAGTAATCATTGATAATAGAAACAGTTTATTAAAAGTCACCTATGATCCTTCCTGACGTATAAGCCACTTCTCTGATCAACAACATGGATTTTAACCATGGGATGAGATATCAGGAGATCAGTTTTAAGTCGATCAGATCGATGGATATAAACTCCCAACACAAGATCATCATCAAAACCAAATTTAGACTGAGTTGAAGTTTCTGAATTCTTCATTTCCTCATCATTTTCTGCAGCAACTTCTTTGTTTTCTTCTAGGAATAGGAACAAAGTAAATAGAGGTTACTATGTTCCAGTAATGACAGTTGAAAAGAATAAAAATGCTCTGTATTGTCTTAGCAATCAACAGTAAAGTAATAATATTTAACACATTGTTTATGTAATAGGTTAAAATAAAAGCATCAAATTCGCAGCATTTTAAACATGTATGAACATACACATTAATATATAATAATTAATATGTTTCTATTAAAAAACATTTTTATTGTTTAAAATCAGAGTTCTTCCTCTTGATTGACATAGGCTCTTCTGTGCCACAATGACTTAAAATCCATACAATTCAATATCCTGCTATGGACTACAGCCTGTAGTAGGGTTTTTTTGTTTGCTTTTTTTAAGGAAAATGAAAAAAAAAAAAAAAAAAAAAAAAAAAGATAAGCAGAAACTGATGCTTTCTCCAGGTGCATTTTCCCCTGAGTTTACCAAACATTGTTTTCAGGACTTCCTCATCTACAAGTTACAGTGAGACCATCATATTTAACAGATATCAAAAGACCTACTTCTCATCAATTTCTGTAATCTCCATTTTTTAAACTAATTTCTTATTTTGGCTTCCACACTGTTTGAGGAAATCATTTCTCCAATTTCACTATGCATTGCATGAAAAAGTATTCCTTATGTTTGAATTGAGCATCAGGTTAAAAACTGTGGTCATATATCATTTATAGCATTAAGTAAATTAAAATTATAAAATAGTAAAAAACAATTAGAATATGCACTTAAGCAATACACTGTAAATGTGGTATAGACAATATTATTATACTATGCTTAAACCCCTCACTTTTTAACTATTTATCAATTTCAAAGCTATTTACAGTAAATGAATTCTCAAGATTTTAGACGGATAAATCAAATTAACTTCCTTACAAATTAGCCTCAGAATTGGAAGAACAAAAATACGATTAAGTAACTAAAGAAACATCAGTAGCTTCAATAGCTCAGTCACTTCTGTGTTACTAGTATGAACAAATATTTCTGTAGCAGTGTGAAGAAAGAAAAGAAAAAGAAGACTTGGATAAAGCAGCACACCATTTTAACATTTTGTTGGCAGACCTTGTCTGGTTTTCTTTTTAACCTTCTTTGCTTTCGGTTTCTGTTTTCCCATGCTTTCCTCCAGTTTCTGTCCTTCTGATGTAAACAGGCTTTCCAATGACTGATTTTCATTGCCATCTTCTGCAGGATGATGCTGTAGCTCAGAAAGGGACATTGCACTGCAATGTAATGGATTACCGTCAGCAATTGCATTCTACTGCATCTATAGATACAATTGCTTATTATCATTATTAATCCACTTGAAATTTCCTCTTTAGTTCTGCAACTCATCATCTGTGTATCTTGAAAATTCAAAACAAACCCCCAACATCAGTATCTTGCCTATTTCATTTCTCTCCCCCCTTCCCTTCCCTCTAATTTTCAGATAAGTGCAGAACCGTTCATGTGACTAGAGCTAAGCTAATACTCTTCTGCTGTATCAGGGGCATCACTCATCACTAAAAAGCATGCACAACATTATCTCAAGTTAGTTAAGAGTGACTTCCACAGAAAACAAACATCAGATAGTAACAGAATATTTTTTTAAAAAGGAAAGCAGAATCTGTGAGTTTAATATTAATCTTGACAGCATTTTGAAAAAGTATTTGGTAATGTTTTTTCGTAAGAGAATCATCCAGTTCACCACTTAGAAAACATGTACAGTTTATCAGAAAGCTTCTGCCTATCTTAAAACAAAAAGAAACATTTTGCTTAAGATTCACAGGCACGCGGTATGCAGTTTATCATGGTACCTTGTTTCAGCTTCACTTAAAACTGCTATTTCTTTTTTCTTTTTCTTCTTCTTGCCAACTTCATTGTTCAATACAACTTCATGGCTTTGAACATTGGAGGCAAATTCAGACATCTGTTCTTTAAGTTTCATTCTTATTTTCTTTTTAATTGCATTTGCCTCATCCTCAGCCACATGCAGCTGATAGGCTCGAATTAGCTCTTCTTCCTCTTCTAATTCAGTTACGTTTCTCACTTCAGTCAAGGAATTTTTAATCTTTCTGTCATCTTCTTGATGAGGTACATCTGTTTGTGATTTACTTTTTGTTTTCTTCTTCGGAAAATCATTAATCTTTTTCTCAAAACTCTCCAATTTAGCTTCATATAAATTTTCCTCCTCATTAAATTGTTCTTGTAACAGTGATTTCTTTTTCTTCTTGTTAGACTTTGGTTGCTTGTTCTCCTCTCCACTAACAATATCATTGTTTATTTTCTCTGCAATTGAGGCTTTCTCTCTCAGTTTATTTTTTGTAAATCTGGGACTCTCTTCTTCAGGTTTATATGTGTTGTTTATAATTGCTTCATCATTCACGCTTTCCTTAGCTAGATCAATATTACTTCTAAAGGTGTCAAGCTATAAACAAAAAGAACAAACATACTTGTACTAAAAATTATGTTCCAAGGATAAACATAGTATTTTATGTTATTTCTTTAGCAACATTACACAAAGTAGAATGAAATCAAAGATTAGTTGTTTTCTTGTTTAAAATTAACAAGTGACAGATTGAAAGGCAACAGAAAATTCACACTGAAAAAAAACATTTTGTGTTTGGGCACTTCATCCTCCATTTTGTTTCACTATGTTTTTAAATTACTTTTATGCATATCCAGCAAAAAAACCCCACCAAGTCTACTCTATAAACAGATGCCAGTGCTTTAGACTATGGAAGACTTGAAGACTAGATGCAGCATAAAATCAAGTATTTTCATCCATTTAAAATGCAAGTTAGAGACATGCTTCAGGCTCAGTTGTTTGTAGTCTCTTTTACTGAAAGTTGCTTGCCAAAGTTTGACAATGAAATTATATTAAAAAGTGATAAAACTGAAAAACAGATTTCCATTAAGACTTCTTTTTTTTAAAAAAGTATAAAGTTGAAAAAGAAACCCTGACATTATTCTCAGTAGAATGACAGAGATGATCTAGAGACCAGACCAGTAAAACCAGCCAAGATAAATTTCAGCAAATGCATTTGTCTGTGCACTCCTCCTGCCAATTTTTGGTGTTTTTTAGAAAACACACTGTAAACTTTCCTCCTTCCGTCAGGTTTCTATTCCAGGTTACTAAAAGTTATAATGCCCCATCACTGGTAACATTCAAGGTGAGGTCGGATGGGGCTCTGAGCAACCTGATCCAGTTGAAGATGTCCCTACTCATTGCAGGGGGGTTGGCCTCTGAAGGTCCCTTCCAACCCAAACTATTCTATGATAATTCCAAACACCACAGCAAGTAACTAAGGCTTAATTCTGTAAGGAGCTTGACGCACAGATCTCTTTCTCTTGATGGAACTTCTATAAAGTTGCTGAGGTTCATTTACTCTGTTGTCTTACATAAAACTCTCTGGATTCTCCACATGAAACATTAGAAAGGACTTTAAAACGCAAAGAAAGCAAATAAAAAAAGTTGGAGAAAACTAAGTATCTGCACTTTTCTTTTCTTTACAAGACCATATTCCTCCCTGAACAAACACAGACATCTTCCCCCTTCTAGCTAGGATACTTCTCCCAGATACAGAATCATGTTTGTCTGGAAAATTCTATAAAGAGACAATACGTGTAATAAGCGATCACCAAAATGTACACGCTTCTAAGAAGAAAAAAAAAAAAGAAGAGAATGAAGTTGCAACAGCAATCATGCTTTGGAAGATGTATCCTGACTTAAAAATGCCCACCTGAGAGAATAATATCCCATGACTAGAAAGAAGAGAGCAATCAATGTGCAAGTCCATGTTGTATGCCCGCAATTATGTGAGCCTGCAAACCTTCATCACTGCCTTGTTTAATTCACATTTGACTTTTGAAGAGAGAACATGGACAGCAAGGAAAGTGCAAGTACTGAAGAAGTAGAAGGGAGGAAAAAGAAAGGAAAGTTTGAAGTACATGAGTAAAAACACAGAAGAGGAAAGAAAACCCAGGAAATTTATTATTTGTACAGGAAAATTGTCAAATAAACGTAGTGCAACAAAAAAAAAATACACCAAGACAAAGTTTAACACAGAAATAAAAGCCCATGTCTGAAACTAGAGACAAAACTTAAAAATGCACTAGACTTACTAACACTACTTATCAAACAACACTGTCTAAAAAAGTATGAATTAAAAAAGAAAGCATCTAGAATTTCATGCAAGTATGCTTATCTAATACATCAGAAAAATCTAAAGCCATTCATACATCTTTTCAGTAGGTAACTTTATTTTTAGCATCCCATGTCTAAAAATAGTTTAAATTATCTCAGTATCAAATCACAAAAAAAGACCTGCCTTTGTACCTTCATCTTTTACTTGCTTAAATAGACCAGTAACATCCTCTCTATGAAGTCAGTGATTTAAGAGGATGTGGAAGATTTCATATAAATAACTTGAAATACAGAGCAGAGGAAGGGAAATTTAAAAAAAAATTAAGCAACAGCTTTGTATAAACTAAAACAACACAATAATGCTTTCTAATAGATTGTCCACTTCCTTATCTGCATTTCTACAAATAGCTTTAACTGTGGGGTATAAGGAATGAAGGTTAAAACACACTGGCAATTAAGACCCACCTGTGACCAAGCTAAGGTCATGCTGATTTTCGCCTTTGATAGAACATTAATCCAGCAAGGCTAAGAAGTAGAATTCTTTCAGAAGTCCTGAACAAAAAAGCCCTCATCTTTGACATGTTCAAGGGCTTCTAAAATAACTCAGATACTCAAGAATCATTTCCTCAAAGAAACCTAGCTGTTGCAAAAACTTGAAATACTTACTAAAACTTGTTACTTATTTTGCCTACAAACACACACATATATCCACAAAAATGTGTCATGAATAGTAGCAGCACACACTTAATTATAGCAAATTAGTCACAGAAAAAAAAAAAGGAATATCCTCATAATGAAATAAAAAGCTATTTCAAATGACAGCAAATTCCAGGAACATTAATGGATACTGCAGGCAGCACAAAGCTGCTTCAGCAGTTCAAACGCAAATTCCTCACATACATAGCCTGTATGATCTTAACTCAGGCCACTTTTTCCATGTGTTGTAATTACTTGATGTAATTAAACCAACAGGAAAGATGGGAAGGAGTCAGAAAATGATAAAGTAGAAGCCAAGAGGTTCATAAACCCCATCAGATTAGGTCTCAGGTAGAGGCAGGGACACTGGCATGGATTCCCTATCTGAAATGCAGGACAGAGATCAACTAAAAGCAATCGTATATAAACACACTTGAAATGAGTTAGAAAAAGCAGTTCGTCTGGAAAAGCAGCTCAGAGGCTAGGCCTGTCTCTGGAGTAATTCCAGAAGGTTGCTGACCTGAACCTGACCTCCTCAGCTTAAAGCAAAGAACAAATGAGAACGTTTTTTTCCAAAACAGCTCCATGGCCACATTACACCACCAGGGCAGAGGAAGCACTCTTCTCTGAGAGCAGACCTACTTGCGCTACTGGCTTGATAGGAGCGAGAGATGGGTGCCAGCCAAGATGCACGCAGGTGGGCTGACACACAAGGCTCATACCACAAGGAGCCAACCCCAGGTCACGTCACTTGCCATTCATGTTCCAGAGCTGACAGCAGGGACAATGCCCAATAATTGTACTCCTTTTTAAAAAAGCTTCTCAAATACACGTGAGTGGAACCTGGAAATACATCAAGTGATTTTGCCCAGGTTATCTGGAAATTCAGGTAACTAGATATACAGAGGTACCTGAACTTCTTCCCATAATACATGCACACCTTGAAAAAGTACGACTGGACATTGCCAGCCCACCGAGAGGCTGATATGTATTGGATGTAAAATACCATTTTACTCATAAATTAATTGGTAATTAACATATTTGTGATGCTGGCTAGTTGGGTGGGGTTTTTTAAAAAAATTGAATGCACTAGGGAGCCAATTTTACTGTCATTGCTCATATAAGACTACAAAACATAGACACTCAAAGCTAGAAGAACTCATTTACAGATAGGATAGGATTGGAGAAGTTTCACCAAATTATAACAGAAAACACTGAGAAAATATGTAGGTCAAGTGTATAGTCAATTACTAGCAGTTCTCCTATTTCAAATATAAGAAACAAAGTGCTAAAAAATAGTGAAAATCTCAACAATTACGCAGTGCCTGTCAGCTTATGGAAAAAAAACCAATGGGCTATGAAACAGACCCTGGGAAAATTCTACAACCTCAAAGCTCCATAGGTTGTTTTACATCTAAGACAGAATCTAAAGTACTGAATTAGGCAGAAGAAACCTGTAAAATATCCACCTTACCCAAAAGAATACAAAAATTTTCAAGCCTGGAGATAGACTCCCATTACCTGTGCCCTCATGAAACTCCAGACTCCAACCTGTCATCCAGGGCCTTATGAAGAAAGGGAAGAACAGACTCAGTGAGATAGTAAAAAGCTTTAAATAGATAAATCTGAGTCCTGCCTTAAATACAAAACCTTGGTTATGGTGTGCCCATCCCAATATTGTAAGATGGTCAGACTACAGTCTAGGGAAGAAATTCTAACCTCCATAAAGGGATCTTGCTTTTCACCTGGTAGAAAACTTCACTGACGTTTTCTGAGTTAAACATCTTTTCTACTATGAAATTTAGATTGAACCAAACAAACTCAACTGTTTTCACACTGACTTTAGACAAATTAATCTATCTGGGCAAAATAGTCTGGGCATTGCCTAGTTTGAGGCTTTCCTCATTCTAACAACTTGTAATATGAGGCACAACAGGTGAAAAATATGATGACTGTTAGCCCTGGAAGGGATACTAGCAAATTCACTTTCTAACTGCTTATTTTTTCAGCCATGCCTTCAGGCTGCATATCCACTGCACCTGTGGCTTTTGAACAACAAAGCAGACCTTTCACATCAGCCACCACCGATACCTATCTCCATTACAAGCCCCTCCTCCCTATCAGTTGTGACTTCAAACTCATCCTGCCCTATTGACATCACCCTTTCCTCTTCCAGTCAGGCTGCTTCCCTTCCCTCCAGGCAATGGGCACACAGAGCGGAACAAGCGAGCTCCTAGCCCTCATTTCTCTCGTTTGAAGTCACAGCAATCTCCTGTAGCTCCAGAACTCCGGTTTCAAGGAAACAGTAGACTATGGTGGAAAAGGTTTTACTAATCTAAGAAAGGCTAGGTTCAGTAAAGACAAAAGAAAGAAGCAGACTGGAACACTTCCAATGGAAATACGCTCTCAGTCATGACCTGTTTCTGATCAAACCTGGGAGACCATTTATGGCAAGTGCGTGACAAAGACAACCATCACTGATGAATTTCACATTATTTCAAGACATGTGAAACTCTATACAGTTAAATTATATAAAACGAAGAAAACTGGAACAAAACCAGCCAATCTCCTCCATCTACCTCCTTCTTCCCTCCCACACATATTTATTGCTTACAAAGAAATGACTGGTTATTTGCTGAAGCTTTTACAGAAATTTCTACTTGAATGCAAGCAGTATGGAAAATACCAACCTGAACTCTTGCAGCTTTGCCAAACTTGAAGGAAATATTCAAAATGGTCAGTATTAGGTTTCAATACACATTCTCCTCAGATTTTTAGGTTTTTTAGTGCTTTGATTGGTAAAAATCTTTAAACTCAACAAAACCGTAAAGTTAGGCTTCCATACTGATACTAAAAATGCTTCTTAATTTGTGTGTATACCGTTAGCTTTTGATGCAGTTCAGTGATTTTAAGTTTTTCTAGCTAACTCCAAAGCACTAGCGTTTTACATCAGAGACTTCTGGAATGGAAACTCATTTTAAAACCGAAGTAAGCTTAAAATATTTGTGAGTAATATGTAGTTGCATATGTAGATACAATTATGTGCTCAAAAATACTTATATACACTTATGAAGTACAGATTTTAAAATTCACATTTCATCAAAAAAGTAAACCTAGCCAAGGAAGAATTTAGTCTTGTATTCACACATATGCCAGTAAAAAAAAGGAAAACACCCACCCTCTAACTCTTCTATGCTGAATTTTAGACATCATGTTGATCCTTCGTATAGACTATTGACCAAATACTACATACTTCAAGGAATGCAAAATAAAAAAAAATCCCCACAAATATCAACTTCCAATTGTCAATCTAAAGACAAAATTATGTTTCAACATAACTATACTCAGTTTAATTTAACTATTCCAAATATATGTAACAAATACATGTAACATTCTGATACTCTATAAAATACCACTCCTGTGTCTTAAATGAGTATTAATGAATGAACATTCACTTCCAGCATCTGGTATGGATGCAGCTGTAAGAAAAGAGACTGAAAATATAAAACCTAACAGGAGGAAAATAAACCCCCAGAACATTTGTCTTTTAAGCAAATTGCTTTATTTTGAAATTCCGAACCTCCTAGGTCAATAATTGGTATATACAGAACTCAAATTAAACATTTATTCTTCCCTTGAGGAAAAAAGCTACAACATGAACTCAGAGTAATCTCTGAGGCTCTTTTAATGAGATATATGCCATAAACAAAAAGGTCATCTAACCGTAAGGTCACGTTGATAAGACTCATTCCTAATCCGCAATTCAGATCTTTAAAACAAATCTTTATACATGTGTTCTGCCTAACTAGACACATAAACATGGGACTGCTCAAACACAAAGCTCAGTACAAGCAGAAATATGCTGATTACAGAGATCAAATTGAAAAAAAACTTTCAAATGTTGTTTAATATTGTTTGTAGCTTCTTATTCTTATACCAGTAATTTTTAGGAAATAGAATAAAGTTAATGATTGTCTCTAATATTATTATAAATTCTCATCAGTTCTCAATTCAGATGTACTACAGATGTACCTGTATTACACACATGTAGTACTCTCAAAATTAAATACTTTTACAGCCACAATTCTACTAGCCCATCACTCAAACTCCCACTAAAGCCAAAACTGAACTTAAAACTTTTCTGAAAAAGGTAAATGGAAAAAAAGTACTGACAGACTTTAAATGAGTGCATGCCTGCGTATGCCATTTTCTTTTACCAGTATTATATTCTATATAATCTTGGCATACCTCCAAATTACAATGATGCATTGCTGGTACACAAACAACAAATAAAAGCTACATCAAAACCAAAGAATATGTGCAGAAATATGTTTTATACTTCTTTTTTTTTTAAATGCCTACATACCCTTTCTACAATACATTTTCCTGATCTTTTTTCCATTAAGGAAGGCAACTTCCCATTAAGGAAGCCTGCACAAGTTTGAACTCACCACAATATCCTCTTGAGTGTGAAACTTCTTTTTCTTTGATTTCTTTGCGTCTGTTAGGCCAGCATGACGTCTGAAGATTTCCTCAAAGCGGACTTTGGTTTTTGCCTTTGCCTCACTTTCAACTGCAAAAAGAAATCTAGAGCGTGATTCACTAGCTCAATAATCACCATTGCTAAAAAAGTGCAAAATCACACTTTAAAATTGCAAAGGACAAGAATGATTTTATCAGGGAAAGTTTACCAAGAAATTTGTTTAGTATCCAGTTAAGATATGGCCTCAAGTTGCACCAGGGCAGGTTTAGGTTAGACATTAGGAAAAATTTTTTCAATGGAAGGGCTGTTAAGCATTGGAACAGGCTGCCCAGTGAAGTGGTCGAGTCCCCATCCCTGGAGGTATTTAAAGATGGGTAGATGAGGTGCTTAGGGACATGGTTTAGTGGTGGGACGGCAGGGTTAGGTTAACGGTTAGACTTGATGATCTTAGGAGTCTTTTCCAACTTAAACGACTCTATGATTTTAAGAATTTCCACTGACAACATAAACCACACAAGGACAACTTAGCAGCACTGTACAAAAACACCAGGCTATTACTTGCTGCTGAAGTCAGCACCATGTACTCTGTTTCCTGAAGAAAGCACATTTTGAAGAGCACGTACATCAGGATCAGCACAAAACTTGGGCCAGCCAGAGCAGAGGACAGAGTATTGCCCTCACTGTTTATGAACGGTAGCACACTGATAACAGAGGTGACACACTGTCTCCAGGAGAAGCAGCAGCCCTGGGTTCTTACTGAGTCTTGGAACCCTGAAGAGCACCACCCTGAGACCTGTAAGAGGCAGGAGCGTGCACAGATTTGAAATCAGCTGGAGCTGAGAGCCTCTGCCTTCCTGTGAATCACAATACTGCTATCAGCAGCATTTCAATCCTTGAAGCAGTAGGTGTTCTAAGCCCCCCGCCCCGAGGTAATGCTTAATTTGTAGCTAAAAAGTTAAAAATGCAATATGGCACACCACTGAAAAACGATGTTGAATCTATTTACCATTGTAATTTTTACAAAAGCCCCTGAATTTAAAATAAAAAAAAAATTAAAAAAACCCAAATAACCAACACTTCGAAAATCATCTATCAACATGAACTCAAAAAGGAACCAATGCAGCGCTGAAAACTTATAGACAGAAGTAACTCCTATCATTTGCATCTAGTTCTGACTACAAAACATGTATTGGAAATCAAACACAAAGTATTTTTACCTGCTGGCATTTTCAGTCCTTAGTTAGAAGTGGCTCAACACACCAGCTGCTTCTTCCTCAGAATTCACCATTCTATTTAAAATAATTAACAAGTTTCATTAACATAACCGGTCCATAGACTTTAAGCTAACAATTGAATGCATGCTATTTAATATCAAGTATGAGTACAGGTCTTTGAGGGAAATATTTCTTTCTAGACTATTTGTCTATATTATTAGAAGTTCTCTGCCATCAGATCTCAGCTCAGGATTCTCAGCATCTGATACTTGTTATTTCAGAGTAAATAAAACCCAACACTACAGCAGTTTAATTGGTATATATTTCTGGGCATTAGTCAAATACTTCAGTACTGTAGTTCTCCAGTCTCCTAAAAAAAAAACCCCTATAGTTTATTTAAATAACAGTGACTCACAAAGCCATTTATATTGAAAGTCTTTCTAATCAGGTTCCTATGCTGACAGCATCATCAAGGAAGGCACATTGTAGCCAGCCGATAGCTTTCAATGCAAAGATTCATATCTGCCAGCAAATCTAACTTTATTACCAATCCCTAAATATTTATGTTTACATAAAGCATTTGTATTTTACATAAAGCAGATAAGCAATTACATGAAACTCATTTCTCTAAAGAAGTGTTAGGCCCTCCTGGTTGTGGAAAAAAGCCTACAAATGCAACCCAAACAAAGCTTGAAGGCAAATAAAAATATTACAGAGCTTTATCTTTTCATCAAGAAAATTCAGAATGTTCTACAAAAAACTTGAATACAAAAAGCAGTTTTGTAAACAGTGGAACTAATGAAACCCAGCCTTCTATGAATGTGTTATGTTCCCCTCTACCTTCCACACAATGAAATAGCCTACCTATCTCCCCGGCAGCCTACTGGGCAATATCTCCAAGTTCTCCCCAGGTAACACTTTCTGTTAGGCACCAGTAGCTCACATTCACCGGGCACCCAGACTACATCTATCCTAATAAATTCAGATTTAGCATTAAACGCTGCCAGGCTATATGGCTGCATTACCCTTGGCACCATACCATACCGATCCATACTGCCTAACACTCACCCAAGCAATTTCTGGGTACAGTTTAGGAGTTAGTATGGACTATAAAGAGACAGTCTCCTTGCGGCCACTCTGACTTGGGGCTAAGAGTTTTAAAGTATTAAGAGTATTAAAGTGGGCCAAACATACCACTTGGCCTCAAGACTAAAGGTCACTCCTGGACACACGTATCTTACCAGTATAGGAAAGAGATGAGGCTACACTTAGATCCCCAAGTATTGGCATTACCGAACCCTCAGATCCCTCTCATCTCTCTTTCACAGTGTTATTTGCTTCTTCGCTGTCCCCCACAGGACAAGTACTTTCAGGTCACTTCACATTTGTCACTTACAATAGTTTGGTCTGCTGACTAGCTAAACCAAACCAAATTAAGAAAAAAAAAAAAAAAAAAGGCAAAAGTGTTAGGGTTGGTTTGGGATTATAGAAGTGTTGATTAGTCAGCTGCCAGGTGTCATTAGTTTATTTCATATATTAAGCAAAATATTTATACTCAGTATCCAACAGTCTAAGGATGTTTGAAATGAGCCAGGATGACCAGAAGGGACTTCGCTGGAAGAAAAAAAAAATAATTTTGTTCTACAATATGCTTCATCATGTCACTGACAAGGTAGCAATATTTTCACTAACTAAAATATGTTTTGACTCGTAAAGCAAAACTTTACTGTCACAACTAAAACAGCAACAGTTAAAATTAACACTTCTTACAAGAAATGAAAACAGAAAATACTACTGAAAAATAAACCTGCTTTTGCAAATTATACTTAGTTATAATAAAAGGCCATTTTAAACGTACTGCAGTGATTAAGTGCTGCTTTTCAAGTAGTCAACTCACAATCGGCTAGAAAATACTTATGATTTGAAAGAGCAGAAAACTAAAGATAGTTGTAAAATACAGCAGATTTATCACTTTAATCATTCACTGAAGATTGCAAGAGCATGGAAAAGTCTCTTATGATTAGCTGAGTGATTTTAACCACCTGTCAGAAAAACTAATTAACAAACAACAAATGAAATGCTGAAGTGCTCTTAAATTTAAAACAAAAAATATGAGAGACCATATAGAATACAACAGAAAAATAAGTAAAGTGCTTACCTGTTCCCAAGTACTGAAATAATTTTGCAGTCAATGGTTAAATAAATCACACCGCAAACGAACTGCAGGTAAATTAATTTTGCAGATACTTTTGCTTATAACAGAACAAACACCTTTCCAAAGGCTAGGCTCACCTCATGTCTACCAGCACTGTGCATAAAATGCATAGATTTGCACAATTCACCAGTGAGCGTATCATTTTCTGTTTACGTCTATTCAGTAGAAGTCTATCCCCTTGCGGCAACAAAATTAAGAGACAGAAGTCCTCTAATGATAGTGCTATTATTTTAGATGAATTTCCAATTTAGAATTACATGACCTTTGACATGGTACATTAGAGCAACTATTAGACTCGTGTAAATATAGACCATTAATCAAGAAGGGTAAGAACAAGGCCATTTACTCAGTATATAATCTCACCTTAAAACAGGAGAGATTTAATCTTACATCAAAGTTCAGCAACCACAGTGCCCCAATCTGAATAAACTAAGCTATCATTAAGATTAATTGTGTAAAATGCATTCTTGCCTGATCAAATCCAATCTCTTCCATGTTAGTTAATATAAAGCAATCCAGGAATAACAAAAATACATACTTGGAACAGTGGCGTATTCCACCCATCCGGAATAACCAGGAAAAGAAAATCATCAAGCCCAAACTTCCAAGAATTATTATATGCCTTCCTGAAAATCACCTAATTTGCTCTCCTCTAACATTCCATCTGTATTTATAGATGTGATTCTACATTACATTGTTGCTCTTTTCACCATATTTTACAATACCCACCGAGTTGCTATATCCTGCAGCCATAATATAGGAATTCTCTACACAAAACATGCCACAAAGCCCAATATTTACAAAAAAACCACTTTACTGATCACTAAAAGAAAATAATTAAAAAAAAAAAATCAAACCTATACTATAATGGAGTGGAACATACAGAATCTGTACTACACAGTGGGAAGTGACAAATTTCCTACCTCATTAGGACCACTGAAAGGATCATTGAGGAAACTGACTTGACAAAATGTAATTGCACACTTCAGGGTTTTTGCAAACTAAACCACTCGTTTTTCTTTTACCGCAAAAAGTGAATGTAATCTTCAGTGGCTGAAAATAAGTAGAACATGAAGCATTGTTGACTTCTCATCTTTTAGATTAAATCAGTCATCGCAGCGGGAAATCTTGGGGTTTATTAGTAGGTTTCTAATTCAGCTATCTGTAGGTATCACTACTTCGAGACCTGAAAAATCTTTAACTCAGAATCATACAGCAAAATAACACCGAGTTGAATCTGTTCCTCTTCACTAATGATACATGGGACATCAAAACCCAACTTGGTTTTATTAATGAAAATTCAGTATTCTAAGTCCAGAAAACCGACAGCTTTATTATTACCCTATAAATACCTATGCACCTGCATATCAAATAAACACTACTAAACGTGCAGTAGCTTTCTACCAGTTTAGATGCATCTGTAAAAACCTTGTGTTCACACCAATTTAAAAGGATGTTTAAAAAAAGCTGGTGCCAGCCATCTGAGTTTTCTAATAGCAATGTATCAAAAAGCTTTAGCTTCAGAGTAACGGACCTTTTTTTCCCCAGATTTGGCACCTTTTGTTGGTCAGGTTGAAAACAGTCTCTGTCTGCCCTGATGGCGAAACTATGGACTTCAGTTCTGTATAAGGAAACACGGCTGACTTTTATTGTTTAACACATTTCAGGTCTGCCTTATCTTGGGATCATCATCAGGGAAACGGGTTCTCATCAGGAGATCACCCTAAGTATTTTAACATCCAAAGTGGCGTTTTGCTTTGCGTAGAGGTAATAATGGGAAACAACAGATATACAAGGGAACGCTCCCAACACACACTGCAACTGCACTAATCGATGGGGCTAATTGCATTTAATGTGCAGATGCACGCTCCTCATGCGAGGGAGGCATCGCTGCTTTGGGGTTAACATGTCAGGCATGGAGAAGCACTCTGATTTCCACGTGCCATGGGGCATAAATTGACCATGCAACCACACCTGAGCAAACTACAACGCTTGTACGGGGCG